AAGAAGTGGTGAAAGTGGCCATTGTCGCCCTGTTCTTGATCTCAGGAAATAATGGGTTTAGGTTGTCATCATTAAGTGTGAGAAGACAGCTGTATGTGTTCACAGATGCACCTTATCCTGTTAAAAAGTTCTTATTCCTAGTTGGCTAAGAATTTTTAATTTGTCAAATGCTTTTGCTGCTTCTATCAAGATAATAATATGGATTATTTTCATATTTTTAGTATCGATGTAATATTATAGACTTGCATTCAATATACAATACACACATGTTACATATGCCATAGAAAATGTTTACGTATAATGTGTCATTAAATACAGTGAAACCTGCAAGAGCTTGAACTCAACGAGATGCCCTGTTTTTCTGGGTATTGCCACTTTTCCATCCCCTCGATTAGAGGGAAACACTTGAGTTTTCCTTCTCTGACAGGCTTCTGCCTTACAGGAATTCTGGCTTCCACAGGTTTTACGGTACATTAAAGATAAAATTATTTATTATAATTTTTCTTTTTTAGTCTGTGTAAATGATGAGTTGCTGTGATTGTTATTTGAGTGTTGAACCAACCTTCCATTTCCAGGATAAACCCCATTTGGTCACGAGGCATTTATCCTTCTTGGTTTAATTGGCTAATGTTTTGTTCAGAATTTTTATATACATGATCATGAAAGATGTTGGCTGATTATTTTTTGTACTGGCCTTGTCTTGTTTTGGGAGCTCTGGTGACGTAGTGCCTAAGGCACTTGACTGCTAACCGGAAGGCTGGCGGTTCAAACCCACCAGCTGCTCCTCGGAAGGAAGGTTGGGCAATCTACTTCCGTAGTGATACCACCTCAGAAATCCAAGGAGGGGTTGCTGTGAGTTGGATCTGACTCAATGGCAGTGAATTTGTTTTTTGTTTTTTGTCTTGTTTTGGTATCTGAAGAATACTGACCCCATGACATGAGTTAGGGAGAGCTCCCACCGCTTCTGTTTCCTGGATGAGTGTGTGTAGAAATGGTATGATTTCCTCCTTAAATTATGGTAGCATCTCACCAGTGAAGCCATTGTTCCTGAAGATTTCTCTGAGGGAAGGTTTCTAAATTTTTTATTTTTTAACCAATGAATTTGATTGATTTTTCAGTATAGGACTATTTATCTTATCTCCTTCTTTTCTTTTTTTGGGGGCCCTGGTGGTGCAAGTAGTTGAGAACTTGCCTGCTAACCCAAAGGTTGGTGGTTCAAACCCATGAACCACTCTGCAAGAGAAAGATGAGGCAATCTGCTTCTGTGAAGATTTACAGCCCTGGAAGCCTAGAGGTTGCTCTACTCTGTCCTATGGGATCACCAGGAGTCTAAACGGGCTTGATGGCAATGTGTTTGGGATTTTTTTAAATTTCATTTTAAGTGTGCTATAGAAGTTTAGTTCTTTCAAGGAATGAAAGTGGTCAAAGGTGTCACCGTGCAGTAGTTTCTCGGTGTCCCTTTGTCTCCAGTACCTGTGGGGTTTTAAATGTCGGCCCCTCTTGGTCTCCATAATGGGCATTCATAGCTTATTTGCCTGCTTGGTTGGTTTCATTGAGTTTCTTTCTTGTTTTTCCATTTTCTCAATCTGTTCTTATCTCTATTATTTCTACTTTCTGTTGTACTTTGAGTTTAATTTTTTTCTCCTATATGTCTAATTTCTTAAGGTGGAAATGTAAGAGATTAATTTGAGAGCTACTTGCTTTTTAACATAAACTTTAATGCTGTATATTTTCCTCTGATCACTGTTTTAGTTGATCCTGCAAATGTGATATATTGTTTTCATTTATGTAACTTGAAAACATTTTCTAATTTCTCTTGTGATACAACCCATTGGCTACTTGTTGTTGTTGTTATGTGCTGTTGAGTCATCTCTGACTCCTAGTGACCTATGTACAACAGAACGAAACACTGCCCAGTCCTGCGCCAGCCTCACGATCCCTGCTATACGTGAGCCCATCACTGAAGCCACCGTGTCAGTCCTTCTCATTGAGGGCTTTCCCCTCTTTTGTTGACCCTCCACTTTACCAGGCATGATATCTTTCTCCAGAAAATGGTCCCTTCTGACAACATGACCAACGTATGTGAGATGAAGCCTGGCCATTCTTGTTTCCAAGGAGCATTTTGGCTGCACTTCCTCCAGGACAGATTTGTTAGTTCTTTTAGCAGTCCATGGTACTTTCAGCATTCTTTGCCAACACCACAACTCAAAAGCATGAACTTTTATTCAGTCTTCCTTATTCATTGTCCAGCTCTCACATGCATATGAGGTGACTGAAAATACCATGCCTTGGGTAGGTGCATCCTAGCCTTCAAGGAGATATCTTTGCTCTTCAGCACTTAAAGATGTCCTTTGCAGCAGATTTACCCAGAGCAATACGTTGTCTAATGTCTTGACTGCTGCTTCCATTGACATTGATTGTAGAACCAAGTAATATGAAGTCTTTGACAACTTTAGTCTTTTCTCCATTTATCATGATGCAATTTATAGGTCTAGTTGTGAGGATTTCTATTTTCTTTATGTTGAGGTATAATCCATACTGTAGACTGTAGTCTTTAATTTTCATCAGTACGTGCTCTAAGTCATCGTCACTTTCAGCAAGCAAAATTGTGTCATCTGCCTATTGCAGGGTTTTTTTTATTTTTTTATTTTTTTTTAGGACTGGAACTGGTAGAGACAGCTGGGAGGCGGTGACAGATGGCTTTTTGCCAGAACTGGCAGGGAAGGCTGGGCAGTGGGAGTGGTGCAGTTTGGAACAGCTAAGGGGGTGAACTCGCCTGTCAGTTTGTCATCCTGTGGTGGCTTGTATGTTGCTGTGAGGCTGGAGCTTGGGCCACCAGTGTGTCAAGTGCCAACAGGGTTAGCTATGGTGGGTAGGTCTCAGCGGAGCTGCCAGCCTAAGACAGACTCAGAAGAAGGAAGACGCCATCCGCTTCTCAAATAGTTGGCCAGTGAAAACCTTAGGAATAGCAGTGAAACACTGTCTGATCTATTGGTTACTTACAATGGTTTTATTTAATTTCCAAATATCTGTGGACTTTCCACACCACTTTCTGTTACTAATTTCTGGTTTAATTCCATTGTGATCAGTAGGAGACTTAATGTTATTTAATCTTTTTCAATTTCATGAGACTTGTGCTATGTCCCAGAATAGGGTCAATTTTGGTAAATGTTCTGTGTGTGCATAAAGAGAATACTATATTGTTACTGGATAGAATAGTCTACATGCCAGTTAGTTTGGCTCCTAATGTTATTCAAGTTTTCTGTATTTTAATTGGTGTGGTCCTAAGTTTGTGTTGGCTGGGCCTGGTTGAATGGCTGGGCAGCTAGATGTAGTATTCCCCATGGTGAGATTGGTAATTAACTCCATGGTGGGATCTATTGGAGCAGCTGAGTAGCTGCTTTGGGTATGTGGTCTGCTTCTCATATGTAAGAAACAGTTTTGGGAATGGTGTCTAGCTTATGGTGCACTTGAACCCTGCATGTAGCTGTGTTGTTGTCAGCAGCCTGCCATGCTCTGCTGGCCTTGGGACTTACAGTGGACTTGAATCAGTGACCTGCCGTGTGGTTTGGTAACATCAGGACTGTGCCATTTTATTTGTCCACCTTGGGCTTGTTAGTCTCAGCAGCCAGTAGCTGCCTGAGTGAAGAGATGCCTCTAGCTTCGCTGGGCCAAGAGCAAGAGGCAGAACTGAAGCCCAAGGTCAAGGGGCTTTCACCCAGCCCCTAGAGCCTAGCACTTTGAACTCGGACTTAAAGCCTCCAAGTTGTAAGAGAATAAACTCCTGTTTGTTCAGGCGATCGCAATGGTGGTAGATTCCTGTCAGAGCAGCACTAGGGAGCCAGAACAATTGGACTTCTTCCTACTTGCTCTATGAATTACCAAGAGAAGAGTGTTGAAACACTCAATTACAATTGTGTATTTGTCTGTTTCTCCTTGCAGCTTTATCAGATTTTGTCTGATGTATTGGGGAGCTCTGTTACTAGGAACACATATGCTTAAGAGCATTAGGCCTCATGGTTGACAGCAAGGCTCGTGTTATACGCACGTTGTTGTTGTTCAGTGCTGTGGAGGTGGCTCTGACTCATAGCAGCCCTGTGTACAGCACAGAAAAGCACGGCCTGGTCCTGCGCCGTCCACACCTGTACGGTGTTATCTGATGGCTCAGTTTCTCTCTCGTATGTCTGTTGCTGTTGCTGTACCACCAACACCACTACTCTTTCCTCCTGCAGTGTCTGATCTGATCTTAATCCCAGTCAGTGTATTTTCTGTTCTATGTGTTGTGTTTTTCACATGTAGAAGCTTTGTGGGTTTTTCATCTTTTGTTTCTTTCTCAGCCCATTCCTGCTTCCCTCCCCTTCGTGAACACAGGGCATGTGCTGAACATCTTTGCCCCAGTTCCTCATCTGTGTCATTTCACAGTCTGTTGTGTACATTATAGGTCATATTTTCCTGTTTATTTAAATGCTGGTGAACTTTGTTTGAATGCTGGACATTGTGACTTCTACATTTTGTGGGTAGATTTTTGCGCAGGTCAGAATCTGTGGTCTTGCTGATAACACCCGTGTGCAGATTCTGCATTGGGATCGATAAATTTATTCCCATGGCCAGGCCCATTCACTGATGGGCTTGTCTTAAAGAGAATATGTGCATCATCTTATTGGGCAGAATGGTCTACGTATGTCCATTAGGTTTTACGTGTCGACAGCCGAGTTGAGTCCTTGTGACAGAGACCAGGTGGCCTGGGAAGACGGACAGACAGACTTTCTGTCCCTTTTCAAAAAAACGTTCTGTTCTAAGAGAATGTTTTTATGTAAACAACACACTGTGTGGCCTTGTGTTCTGATGACGTGGAATGCTGTGACCTTAATATTCTGGCTCCTCAAGAATGCTTGTCTTAACCACGGTGTGTTTTTCTTTCCCGTCTTCTTAGATCCACTTCTCCTTTCCTGTTATCTCTGCTGAGAAGCCGGGGACTGTACCGTCCGTTCCCCCTTTCAATGGCGGGCCCACATTTTCTGCCCCGAGGGAGCACCACAGTGAGTGAGGTGAGTATACTACTGTTGGGGGAGTTTAATTCTGCTTAATCGTGGCTGCTTGACCACAGCAGCTTCAGCTAACTCTGTCTTGGTTTCCCTCCAGAAGCTGGTGAACTCCAGCAACGTCAGTGAAGACTATTTTTTGGTGACGGGTGTGGATTACGCCGTGGACGACGACACGCTGCTGTGCTCCTTGGGGGAGGTCAGACGGTTCTCCCAGTTATTTGTACCCATTGCCTACGCCTTGATATGTGTCTTCGGCCTCCTGGGAAATGTTTTAGTGGTGGTCACCTTTGCGTTTTATAAGAAAGCCAAGTCAATGACAGATGCTTACCTGTTGAATATGGCCATTGCGGACATACTGTTTGTCCTTACACTGCCGTTCTGGGCGGTGAGTCACGCCAGTGGAAGGTGGCATTTCAGCAATGCCCTGTGCAAACTGATCAAAGGCATCTACGCCATCAACTTCAACTGTGGGATGCTGCTGTTGACCTGCATCAGCACGGACCGGTACATCGCCATTGTGCAGGCCACCAAGTCCTTCAAGCTGCGGTCCAAAACGCTAGCACACAACAAGGTCATCTGCTTCCTGGTGTGGGTGATGTCCATCCTCATCTCCAGCTCCACGTTCACCTTCAACCAGAAGTACAGCATGCAGGGCGTCGACGTGTGTGAGCCCAACTACCACAGCGTCTCGGAGCCCATCCGATGGAAGCTCCTGATGCTGGGCCTCCAGCTGCTCTTTGGCTTCTTTATCCCCCTGGTCTTCATGATCTTCTGCTACCTGTTCATTGTCAAGACCTTGGTGCGGGCTCAGAACTCCAAAAGGCACAAGGCCATCCGTGTGATCATAGCGGTGGTTCTCGTGTTCCTGGTCTGCCAGACCCCCCACAACATGGTTCTCCTGGTGACCGCTGCCAACATGGGCAGCATGGGCCGGTCCTGCAGCAGCGAGAAGCTCATTGGCTACACCAAGAACGTCACCGAGGTGCTGGCCTTCCTGCACTGCTGTCTCAACCCCGTGCTCTACGCCTTCATCGGCCAGAAGTTCCGCAACTACTTTCTGAAGATCATGAAGGACCTGTGGTGCGTGAGGCGGAAGCACCAGGCCAGCAGCTTCTCCTGCTCCAGGATGTACTCTGAGAGCGCCCCCTCCAGACAGACCAGCGAGGTGGCAGACAATGAGAACGCGTCGTCCTTCACCATGTGACACGTGTGACAACAGGGGCCTTGGGAGCGTGCCTGACACCTGCTATCAGATGTTATGCAAAAATCGCTCGTGGCCACGTGCATTCGGGGAATGCGGCCATTGGGCAGAACCAGGCAGAGGTTTTTACTGTGGGGACTGAGGGGGTGAGCTGAAGGGCAGGATGAAGCCCTATGTGGCTGGGGGTGGGCAGGGGCTCCCAGAGTTACTTAGAAAAGAGCGTTTCACGGGACTGGTGTGCCACAGAGTGGGCTTTGGGAAATGCCAAATTAAAGGGAATTATGTACAAATCATCAAAGTTTTGAAGTTATTCGGGAAGCAGGGACCACAGTTACGTGTGGTCCTAGCACAAAATAACAACATAGTTTGAAAACGCAAACTAAACCCCCACCTGAGTCCATTTAGAAAATAGCTGACGTGTTTTTGCCCGGGCAGGTGTAGCTGCCCCATCTGCGCAGCGGACGGACTGGCTTGAGTTTCGGCTCCTTCCTCTCCACGTGCTCAGCATGTGTGCAATGGCAAAAGGGCCGAAGGCGCTTGAGGCCTCGCACCGGGGACAGACAGGCAGGGAAGGCGTGTCGTTGTGGATGAGGCCGTTCGTGGGGTGACGGCCTTCAGAGAACTCTAACTCCTCTTGTTTTTCCCCAAGAATCCAGTCTCTGTAGCTGGTGTCTCGCCTGCAAGAAAGCCTGGGGGACAGAGAGTTCTGGGAGGACAGGGCCAATGGCAATCTCGTTCCCAGCAGAGTTTCAGTTTAGGAAGCGCGTCCCCGTGAAGGCGGAGCTCTTCACGTTAGCTGCTTCTGCTTTACTTTCATGAGCAGAAGGGAGTAGGAAGAAGACTGGAACGTTCCTGGGCCCCCACAGAAAGAGCGTCTGCTTCCACCTCCTCGCGGCCTTGGTGAGCCACCGGCGGGCCCTTCTGGGGAGCGGACAGCCGGGAAAGGTTGGTCCTGACCTTGGCGGTGCAGTGGCTTTGCCCCAGGTTCCAGGCCAGTTGTCAAATCGTGTTTAACAAGGCTCTTCAGGTCGTGAAAGTTCGGAGGCCGCCAGAGTTCTTACAGCCCTTTGCAAAGACAGGACTAAGTGGGGAAATGCCAACACGCGTGACACACACGTCCTGCAGAAGCAAGGACACGTCCCATCTGACCAGCGCCCTGTGTGGAACTGGGTGGGTCCTCGCGGGCTTTGTCTCCGGGCAAAATGCAAAGCCCATGTTGAGATCCAAAGCCCGTGTGATTGAAACCTTTGCGAAACCCCGCGGTTCTGTGTGTGGAGGAGGGGTCGGCCGGAACTGGACAGTCGCCTGCGAGACCCCGACGCAGAGGGGGGCGCGCGGCGTCCCCTCCTTGCACACCAGTCAGCGTGTCCACGTGCACTCTTGGGGGCGTCCAGATACGCGTTCTCTGTGGCGATCGGGACACTCGTGCGGCTCACGGCCCCAGGGCAGCAGGCTGCACGGGCTGCCGGAGCCGCGGGCTGGGTCGGCCTCGGGTCTCGCCAGGCTCTGCGTTGGACACGTGCGCCTCACGCTCCCTTGTCGCTGTTTCAGCGCAAAGTCTGTGATTTCCGGCTGGGACCAGTTTCCGGCCTTTGTGCTCTGTGCCATGGGAATGGCCAGCTCCGGGAAGCTTTGCCTTCAAGCCACAGCCAGGAACACAGGCGTCTCCAGGACGCACGGCACTTGCCCTGCTGACCTGGGGCGGCCGGAGGCTCGGAACAGGTGCGGGGCGCCCAGGCGTCGGGGTGCCAGGGCCTCTGCTGCCCATTTCCCGAGCTCCTGGAAGGCTCCGGCTGCCCTCGCAGCTCTGCCCCAAGGGCGGGCTCCCCACAAAGTGCCCCTTCGTGCCAGATTCTAGTTTGGTGGCTGCTCTCTGGAGCAAGGTGTGCACCCTGCGTTGGCCTCGGGGGTCTGTGAACCAGCCGGAAGCCTCGGGATGAGAGCCCCCTGGGTGGGCAGGGAGCTCCGAGCCGCCGCTGGGTCTGCTTTCCGTGTAGCGAGTCGGCTGCACCCAGAAACACCCGCTGCAAGCTACCGTTCAGCTGCCCTGCTCTCTCCTTGAGCCGCGTCTGCTGACAGAATTTGAAGACAGTTGACTGTGGTGTCCTGTTTCAGTAAAGCCCTGTGCGAGGTGGAGGTAAGGATCCACCTTTTCTAACCGTTTAGTTCATTCCTCTCACACCAGAGGCCAGGTGGACAGTCCAGGACAATTAGCAGATGCTGTTCTTCTTACCTGTGGGCTGTTCTCATGGCCCAAGAGGGCTGCCCCGGTTCCCGCCATCACACACACCTCTAGCCAGCAGAAAGGAGCCGAATGAGGGAGATGGCCTTGTCCTTCTCTCTGAGGGCACAGCCTGAAAGCTGTGGGCACAATTCCCACTCTCATTCCGTTGGGCTTCACGTAGTCATCTGCTCACAGGAGGCGCAGACACCCTGGGAGGTGTTGTCCTAGCTGGGAGGCCATGCGTCCACATGCAGATCCATGACAGTGGGGAGAGGGAAAATGGCTGTCGGGAAACAGGCTTTGGAGCAGGAAAAACCACTTCTCCTTTCAGGAAAGGCAGAGGCCGTGACTTTTACCACAAAGACCAGTGCTGTAAGGTCCATGCTGACTTACGGGGACCTACGTGGGCCAGAGTGGAACTGCACTCCACACAGTTTGTTGCAGCTGGTTTTTGAGGAGGAGACGGCCAGGTCTTTGCCAAGATGCTCGAGGTGGGCTTGAACCTGCAACCTTTGATTTGGCCGAGCACATTGGAGCTCTGTAACTTGTAAAGAGGTAGAGATGCTGCAGGAAGGAGTCGTGGCCCAAGAATGGTGACAGTTTCAGGAAGGGATCTGAGAAGAGCCAGGCACCGGCATGGCTGAGAGAGGGGCTGGCTGACGTGGGCCCCGGAAGAAAGGGTGGCCTGGCTGCCATGTTTCACTGATGTCCTGCTGCCTGGAACTGCACGTCAGAGCAACGCATTACGAAGAGAGGCTTGCTTTCTGCCTCTTTTGAAAAACTTACCGTACCTTCATTCTTACTGACGTTTGACCCCTTTTCCGAGCACACAGTGTAAATAGAAGGACCAGTGGTGAGCAGAGGCATTGAAGGCGTGTTGTAAGACAACGGCTGTGAGTGCTGCAGGACCAACGTTTGTTTCTGTCATCCGTAGGGTTGCTAACACGAGGAGGTAGTTAAGATTTATTGGCCTTACCTAAGGAGGGGTCACTATGAGTCAGGACCAACTCGAGGGCACATAAAAACAGCAGCACTATGGGGACATGCGGCTTTTCTTTGGCAGTGGAACTGCTGCCCCCTACTGGCTGACAGCTGCATTCACAGGTCACAGAGAAACCACCTCATAGCGCCATGAGGCTAAATGACAAAATGTTTTTAATTTAAAAGAACAAATCCATGAAATGCATAGGGCCTTATGTCTGTTGTTTTTCATAAAATCCTCAGAAATACCAGCTTGAATGGTCTGCAACTACAGTCCAGTTTCCAAATTGCCTTTAATCTTCACGGACTGGGGCCATTTCTATAGTTACGTTGTCTTGGTGTGTGACTGCCTAGGTTCTGGTGTTTATGAGCTTGCTTGTTTCCTGTTGCCACTGTTGTTTTTGGTCATAATATGTGTGAAGATGTGTATGATGCATGTATGTTAGTGAACATGCACGTGTGTGTGTGTGGCACACAGTGACACCTGTGTGGACATTTATTTTACCAGTATGTATGTAAGCACATTTTTTAAGACATTATAACTGAGGTGGAAGAGATTTTAAAAGGAGAAGAATGCAGTCTCTACTCACCAGTAGCTAACTCTAAAATGCTAATATTAAGAAAAAACAAAATTGTCTAAACTCTGGGCTTGTGTGTACCTGCTCCCCTAAATGTTAGGACACAGAGGAGTGGCGTTTGCGCAGGGACCCTCCCTCAGTGTCCCCTGGAGCAGACGCTCCTCTGTGGCTCTGGCCCCAGGGGTCCGGGCGTGGCGTTGGTGGTTCTGCTCGGAGACACCCAGTCAGCACTGCCAATGGCACCATTCCACGCTGGATCAGGTGGCTTGGGCTGCTGAGAGCCAAGTCGCCTCAGAGAACCGTCCTTCTAAGGAGAGCTGTGTGCACACCTGGCTCAGCTGGGGCCCATCCGACCCCAGAGCACAGGGCTGAGCACTGACATGTCGGCCTGTGACCCGGCGTCCTTGCCGTGTTCAGTTGGGTGTGATCCGGTGAGCAGGGCCCTACGGCAGCGGAATACGTACGACCGTGTTGGCTGCCTGGACGGCCATCGCCCCCTGCCATGGGTTCCTCGCTGCCAGCGTCAGACCCCCTTGTCGCTGTGGCAGGACCCAGCTACCTTCGAGGGGACGCTGACCGTGGTGACCCCGTGGGGGCTGCAGGAGAGCTGCGCCACAGGATTGCAGCGGTGGTTTTTTCAGGAGCTGGTCACCAGGCCTTTCTTCCCAGGCGCCTCTGGACGGACTCGAACCCGTAACTTTCCGCTCAGCAGCTGAACGTGTTAACTGTTCTGTACCACCAGGGTGCACAGCGAGTACCCACTGAAGTCTGAGCATCCCATCTTCCTGAAAGCCCAGCTGGACCCATGGCCCAGCCTTCTCTGGGGCACTGTGGCCGCGTGGCTGGGCTCCGGCCTCCATGTGTGAACGGAAGTGAAGCCCGGTCCTCACGCCTCTCTCGAGAGCGCTCTTCTGCCTGTGCCAGTGGGTGGGATGGAGATGCTCCGGGAGGCCACGGAAGCCAATTGTTGGGAACAGCAGAGCCTGCCCAGGCCTGAACCCCTGACACGTCTGCTCACCCAGTATTGTTACATGAATGCAGAGTGAACTGCCACTGGTGGGCGCCCACCTGCATTTCACTATGTACTGCTGGCAGCCCACGCAGGTGGGGCAGTCGCTCCCTGTCCACAGGGTCATCCGACCGTGGTGTCTGGCGGGTGGCCCTTCTGCTCCCCTGGAGGCTCTTGCCTGCTTTCCGTCAGTCACTCCCCACGTGTCTGT